ACAGACCATGGACCGACTGCTGATAGCACGCGGAATTGACTACGATGCAATCCGAACCCTTGTATTACCCTCTCGCCCGCCAGAGCAATGTATTCCTTATGTAACAATCAAACAAATCGCACTACCATGACATCACGAATGTATTGACTCACGCCGTAAATGTAGTAGCTTCGAGCAAGGTCCTGAAGGCACTTTCTTCCGCGTGCGATTGCCAGCACTGGCGCAGCTGTGAGATATTGTCCCAAGCTACACTCGGCGTGTGGCGAACGACCGCCACTCTACTCACTATGGCCTCAACTACCTTCGCGTTTTCAGGCAGTCGCTTCGTCATATGCAGCCAGTCGCAAAACCTAAAGCATCATCGTCAAACAGCGCATCAACGGCCCGTGTGCGTGTCCTTAGTATCCTCGGCCACACTGTAGTCTATATTCCTGTGTCAGTAAATACCGCGTATCGTACACGTATATGTATGCCCCTTCACTTCCCATTCGACGTTCCGCCTCTGGCGAACTCAAAGTTCAAACGCCCTTCCGAGTGCCTCGCAACAGCAGACCCACCGTATACTGCACACTGCCAGGTTCGTGACGACGTCGTTCAGCATTTCCGCGCGAGCCGCAGGAGCGAGATTGCTTCGCGAGCGTATACTTTCCGGTCCGGGTCATCCGTCACCTACAGAGTTGCAAGGCAAGGGTGTTCCTTCTCAGCACTAGCCACAGCGAGGGCCGCCCAACGAACACGTACCTCAGTCCATGTAAACTCTCTCTTCAGCAGCGTGAAGAACCGTTTATCGGCCTACATCAATGTGTCTCCTTCAGCGGACACGAGCCTGAAAATTTCTTGCATACCTTTCGCCGCTTCTTGTAGCAGAATAGCACCTCTATATGGTCGCTGAGATCGGCCAGAGAGCCACGCGGGACGAGCTCGGCGAGAGTTTGCACGAGCAGCGGGAATGCAGGCTCAAAGTAGACACAGTCAGCGGCGAGGATTAGAGAGGGGCGGGGGATGTCCTGTGGGAGCGGTGAGCCCCTGCCCTATGAGTAGCGTTAGCACACATGTAGAGTAGAACTGTGTGATGTGCAGAAGGCACGATCCGGAACAGGAGAGATATTAAGTAAAGGGGATGACAGACCAATCCAGCTCGGCGACATGCACACGCGAGGAGAGGTCATTCGTGGCTACATTGCGTTGCATGATGGGAAGAAGCGGTCTGCACAAGATCGGTTAGATCAGCCATTCCAGGTGCGAATACGCAGAGTTGGCAAGGATAGATGAGACGCACGCCTGGTCCGTGATCCACACCTTTGCACCCATCTTCCCCGCGACGAGCCCTACAAGACCTGTCCCGCTTCCGAGTTCTAGCACAGTCCGACCTTCGAGCGAGCCCCTGCGCGCGATGTACCGCGAGAGCACCTATCCCGCAATCTACTTCAGCCCGTGAACCTTCAGAGACCCGCATAAATCATACCTCTCCTGCGGGCCAAGCGATCCCGCCGCAGCCCGGGGACGCGTCCACCAAAAGCGTAATCGCGACATCACCACCGTTGACCTCCCCTGCAGATGGGCCGGCGAACACGAGCCCGATGGTCTGGCCGAGGATGGACGGCGGTTGGGCCGGCACGATGCCTGCGCGGTCAGAGTCGAGGTCGGGGTCGTCGCGAAGGTGCCGGAGGGGGTCGAGCTCATCCAGTTGTTCTTCTACGACGAGGTCAATCATGGTGCGGGCCTCCGGGAAAGAACTTCCAGGCGAATGTCTTGAATGAACTCGCGGCACTTGCGCGGCACAAAACTCGTGTCGATGTATTTCGAGACCACGAGAGAACAATTCACGGGTTATCTTCAGCAGAAGCGGGGCATGTGGTCTCGATAACGGCACTGTACGGTGGATCTAGCTGGCAGACGGTGTATAAAGAGGGATGCGACTCGAGCGCAGGAGTCACGGTCGAGGTGTACGAGTCGATCAGATGAAGATCTCGCTGCTGTCTGTCCTCTCGGTGGCTGCCCAGGTCAGCGCTCTTTGGCCGTTGCCTCGAAACCTCACAGAGGGCACGACTGCCCTCCGTCTGTCCGAGAACTTCGATGTCGTACTCTCCTCTGGCATCGCTGAACCGCCCCAGGATCTATACGACGCGATCTTCCGGACGCGAACCCATCTCTTCACGGACAACTTGGGAAGACTCGTCGTGGGTCGCGGCGCAGGCGATGTCAGCGCGTTCGAAACGGCAGCGTACTTGTCTACCCTGACGCTGTCTCTCGAACCTGGGTCCGAAGTCGCATCGGTCACCGTCGAGGCTCAGAAGCCTCTGGAGGCCAGAGATGAGGCGTACACGCTGACCGTCCCGTCCAACGGTAGCGCTGCTTCAATCACAGCGACATCTACTCTCGGACTTCTCAGAGGTCTGACGACCTTTGAACAACTGTGGTATGAATACGAAGACATTGTATACGCGGTGAACACGCCTGTCCAGATCGAGGACGCGCCTGCCTACGTACGCGCTCGCCGTCTTGACTGCGTGGGCATGCACAGTAGTGATACTGACTATCGCAGCCGTACCGTGGCCTCATGCTGGATACGGCGCGCGACTAGTTCGTCCTATTCGCTATACTGAGGTATCACTCGCATACCTTACTGCCATAGTTTCCCGGTATCAGGCATACTGAGGACACTAGATGCGATGAGTTTGGTCAAGGTCAGTGCCACTTTCATTTTGGTGAGTACGTTCGAGTGCTCCAGCTTTTACGCAGATCAACGAATTTCATTGGCACATCTCCGACAGCCAGAGCTTCCCTCTGCAGATCCCGGGCTACATGGAGCTTTCCGAGTACGGCGCTTACTCGCCACAGATGATCTACAGTCCGAGCGATGTGGAATACATCGTCTCGTATGCAGGCGCGGTGGGTCTCTGTATGTGATCAGGAAGAGTAGAATCCACGATACGATTCTCGTCCAGCGAGGCATCGATGTCATGGTCGAAATTGATACCCCAGGGCATACTTCCATCGTAGGGGAATCTCACCCGGACTTCGTGGCATGCTACCTAGCTCGTCCATGGGCATCGAACGCCGGTGGTACGGAAACTTCGTTCATCCGCTGCACAGTCACCCTCACAGAACACCCATTCAGAGCCACCCGCCGGCCAGCTCCGGTTCGCCAACGCGACGGTCGCGAACTGGAGTGCGGGGCTGTTCACGGCGGTCGCGCAGATGTTCCCGTCGTCGATGATCAGCACGGGCGGCGACGAGATCCAGACGTACTGCTACGACATGGACGAAGAGACACAGTATGACCTGAACAGCACGGGGCGGACGTTCAACGAGGCGCTGACGGACTACGTTCATGGGACGCATGGCGCCCTTGCTGCCGCTGGGAAGACACCCGCCGTATGGGAAGGTATGGATTGGAGTTTTCGAGTAGTGAGCGCGACACTGACGTTGGTATCGCTGCAGAGATGGTGCTCGACTACAACCTGTCGCTGTCGACCGACACGTTGATTTGTCAGTATGCAATGAGCGAAGGCATAACACGAAGTTGAACACATCTTCGTAGGGTTTGGATTTCTTCGGACGATGTCAAGGCGGTGGCAGACCAGGGCTTCAAGGTCATCCACGCAGCGTCCAACTACTTCTATCTGGCAAGTTATGCGGACATAGCACCGTGTATCCCTTGACTCATCCCGCTGTCTAGGACTGCGGCGCTGGCGAGTGGGTCGGTGGTGACCCGTTTGGGTGAGTGTCGTTTAGCAACCGTCCGAAGCAAGCACTAATCCACCTCGCCTGTTCAGCAACGGCTGCGATCCTTTCAAGGCCTGGCAGTATGCCTATACATTCGATCCTCTCGCCAACCTCACGTCTGACCAGTACTCCCAAATCATGGGTGGTGAGTCTTCTGCACCCGTCCGGGTAGTGACATTTCCAACGCTCTTTCATTTTCCAGGTCAGCAGCTGCTTTGGACTGAGCGGTCGGGGCCTGACAATCTCGACCCGATCATCTGGCCCCGCGCTGCCGCCTCCGCTGAAGTGTTCTGGAGCGGGGGTGGTGGCAACGGCACGGCCGCACTGCCGCGCCTGCACGACGTGTCATTTCGATTGCAGCAGCGCGGTGTGCGTTCGATACCACTGCAGCCTCTATGGTGCGCGCTGCGGCCGTACGAATGCGACCTTGACTGGTAAAGACTGGTAAAGGGCTGTATGCCGAATCGTATTGAACCTAGCTGCGACGCGCTAATCGTACGTGATACACGATCACGCAGCAAACATTGACAGTTCCGAAACAGTCTCCTCGTCAGCAATCTGTCCATGTGAAGGTCGCTGAGACGCATGCCGTCAACTCATTCAGATCGGCCGGGTGGTCCGGTGTGGAAGGGAAACCCGTCCCACGCGCTGCTCTTTCTTTTTCGTTACAATTCCCTACTGTACGCTCGACTCTACCGGCGCGCCTGCGACGAACCGGAAGGCCGCGACGCGGACCCGCTAGTAGGACGAGACGAGCGCCGCGACGACGAGTGCCGCACCTGCTGGGGGACCAGGTCGCGATTAGCAAATAGCACCGCGTGCGTGCTGCCAACCTCGTACCGAGACAAGGGATCGTTGTACAACGCCGGAAGGGGACTCAACGGACGTCCGTCGCCCAGGAGGGTGTCCATATGCCTGCTGTACGGTACTTTCCTTATTAGGTATCATTCCTTCCCGATCTGTCATGCGCTTGCGCGTCTCTTTCCTTTCGAACCATTGCAAGCTCGCCGCGTCTCTCCCTCGCAGTCTTCTACCTTTGCATCTCTCTCGCTCTTGCATGCTTCTAGAATCTCTCGCGTGTATTAAGTACTGGGCTGAGCTGCCCGTCTATCGAATCAGATCCCCACTTCTCGCTCTCTCTCTCGCCTCGCTGTCCCGACCTCGGCACTTAGACGCGACAACTGCGGTCGCGGGTGCAAAGCAAGTCGAGTCGCAAGACGAGTAGAATCACGTCAAGTCGCGTTCGACATTTGTAAGTGTTTCATTGAGTCTCGGCGGCCTAACTACGTGCTATAGACATCCACCGTCGTCCTCCACCGAGCCTCGTCCATCTCGACCATCCGACCTCCCTGCATCTAGGACGAGTACGCGTGTGGTGTGGGTTGTCGTCGCCACGCACGCCTTCTCTCCGACAAGTGGTGACCACCGCAACGCCTTCTCTCCGACACCGGGGTCCGAGCTAAGCGAGTGGTTGTGCAGGTATCTCCTGTCATTCGAGAACATCGCGAGGCGTACATACTCTTGGTAACTCGCCTATGTAATGTCGTGAGCCCTCCCAAGTCATCACCACAAATGAATGACGCACCCTGTCACCTACGCCCGCAGTTTGCGCACAGGGACGACTCACAGCATGATACGGGGTGCGGCTCAGAGGGATACGTACACCTCCGGGCCTTCCGTGATGTTGCCTCGACATTCGACTCGATGGCGACTTACCGCAGCAACACAAACGTTGTGTTCAGGTTCTCCGGTCTTCGCTGACACCTCAGGCTGTCAATGCTTAGTCTACCGGATGGAACTGAGACTAGAGGCGCCGTCAACAAAATCAACGATCAAACACATGCGCCGGCTCGTGTGTTGACGGCTCTGGGTGATATATAGATGACTTACAGCGCCTCGATCACACCAACTGACAATGAAGGTGACGACTCAATGGTCACCTCGCCAACCCCCGTTCTCATCGTAGGTAGAGCTTTGATTGAATTGTCCACATTCCACGCTGATCAATTTCAATGCTACGCAGGCTGGTGCCGGGCCCACTGGGCTTGTTTTGGGACTGACCCTCCTTCAGAATGGCATTCAAGTTCGCATCATCGACCGAGATCCCAACCGCCGTCCTGGCCACCGAGGCTTTGGCTTGCAGGTGAGCATCCCGTGGACGGTGGGTGTCGATGCATACTCATAAGGAATCGTGTAACCACGCACGCTGGAGCTATTCCACTTCCTAGGTGTTCTTGACGATGTGCTCGTTCAAGTGCTGCCTGTCCTACCGATGTGCCAATACAAGTTGCCAGGCGGCGTGGAGACGCTCAAGATCTCGACGTTAGCAGCCATAGAAGAGCCTACGCCTGCCTGCCCCTATGTGAGGTCAATGCATGGCATGTGATTCGTATACTGACATTGGAAGATATGCAAGCCCAATGCAAAGCTATTGGGCCAGGACAATACAGAGGCGATCCTCCGTTCACACATTGAGCGCCTCGGAGGCACTGTGGAGTATGGCACCGAGCTTCGTAGTTTTGAACAACACTCCGACCGGGTCGTAGCATTGCTTGCCACGAAGGAGGGAGAGCTTGATAAGACCGAGACTGTCGTATGTCATTGGCTTGTAGGGTCCGACGGCGCCCGAGGTAAAGACCCAGAGCTCTGCAGATATGGCTTGTATTGACGTGTTCGACTCTGGGTCAGGCACTGTTCGCAAGCAACTCGGTCTGTCATTCCTTGGAGATACTCGCTATGAGGAGCAAACCGTGATTGGCCTGGTTGAAGTGCAGGGACTGGACGCAGAGGTAGGTACCAGGTCGTGTTCCGCGCATGCTCTTACGTTGGTATTGACGACGCTTGATGACAATCCTTGACAGCATATACACCAGTGGGTAGGCTTACCAGGTAGCGGGTAGTAGGTTGTCATGTGCTAGCGAGCACGCACAGCAATCTGACATTATGGCATAGCCTGCTCATGACACCGACTGAGAAGCCTGGCTACTTTACCATCGGCCTCACAGGGGAGACGGACGTCGAGAAGCTGGTAGCGGACAGAGACGCACTGATTCACGCCATACTCAAGCGGATCGAGCGACAAGACCTTGTATTCGGGCAAGTGGAAGCGGTCTCGTCATTTAGGTCAGTCGCATCTAAGTTGCGGCCGTTCGAGCGAGCTGATGATCAATCATACATTTATATAGGCCGAACATCCGCATGGTAGACACGTTTGGCGCAGGTAGAGTCTTTGTCGCAGGCGGTGAGTCCGACAGCTGCTGCTGCGAATAACAATGCGACTGACGAAGTGTATAGACGCGGCACACATCCATAGTCCTGCTGGCGGCCAGGTAAGTCGAGCACACACGTAGCTCATCGATTCAACTCGAGCTAACTCATTGATCAGGGCCTGAACTCCAGCGCTCAAGATTCCGTAAGTATCGTGATCACATGTAGACTTCCACACCGGGCCATTCTGATCACTTGTCCAGTTCAACCTGGCATGGAAGCTTACACTTGTCGAGAAAGGCCTCGCCTCTCCCTCCCTGCTAGACACGTATACCGAAGAATGCCTTCCCGTCATTGCCACGATGCTGCAGAATATCACGTTATTCTACGTTGCCATGCGAGCTACTGACCAGCACGGCTGGTGGCGACCTCAAGATGCTCGGCGTCGACTATCGCTGGGGCTCCGGTGGACGAGCGCACAACCAGGGCACAGTTGTCTCAGAGTGCCAACCCACAGGCTCTGGCGCAGATAGTCATCTCAGAGCGTGCAACCGTACGCCTGATGCTCCCGGCTCGAGAAGCATAACAGATATATCTTCAACGCGATCTAGTCAGTACTTGTAACACCAAGACTGTGCGAAGTAAGCTTGTTCCGCCGAACAACCACAGCAAAAACATCATGATGACCTGCGCAACGGCAAGTAAAGGTAAGCATGATCAAAACACAAGGAGACAGTACTGCATGCATCGCTCCTCGATTAAGATTATGGCACTCCTACATACGTGCCGCCACCGCCGCGTCATGGTCGCGTTATGCAATTGCCACGTGACCGCGTGGCGGTCGGACTCGCGGTTTGCGCTTTCAAGTGCTTCTCAACGTGCCACCTGCCAGGTGCCTGCTTTGCTTCTTCATCGATTGAGAGTCCTCCGCATTGCACGGTGCTTTCTTGAAGTCTGTCCATTGAGAAAATGGAACCATATGCTGAGCTCTCCGGCTCCGACTCACTGGTAAAAGAAAACCGAGCTGCGAGCATGGACTCCGAAGTACGCTGGCAGCAACGTGGAAGCGATGGCAAGTGTCATGCTGTACTGTGTGAAACTGGACATGCTGTCCTACAGGACATGTTCGAAATGCCTACGGATGTTATCTTCGAGGTAGGCTAGTATTTCCTCACGTAATGATACACACTGATGAAGCTTGATGTGCGTACCAGATCATGCGACGTCTCCACCCGCGAGATTTGCTGAGCCTCTCTTGGGCATCGAAATCATTTCATGACTTCATGACGAAGAAGAGCTCCGCGTACATCTGGAAAGAATCCTTGAAGAATGTGCAAGGTGTACCCCCTTGTCCCGAGCAGCTCACTGAGCCCGCGTGGGCCGCTCTCCTGTATTCGCCGTACTGCACAGTAAGCGGCGATATATCGTTGATATATTCAGCTGACTTCTCACCACTGAACTGCCAGGGCTGTGGCGTTGAGGTTTTCACGGAATGGCATTGGAGGTTCTACGTGCGCTTCTGCCAGGAGTGCAGCGAAACGAGGTCAGCTAGCCACTAATACCTCGCGGTTGCGTGACTACAATCATGCAATGCGTGTTGATCAATTCGTCTGCTCATATTACTAGGCTGATTGGGGACCCACGTCATGACGAGCAACTGTCTGACAAGCGACACATCAGCACGGACATTCCAATCAGTATGTTCAATTCGGTGGGTTTCCAGAGTGAATGTAAAGCGCCACGATCGTCCCTCATTATTGCTCATGGATGCAATCCACAGGGGCGTGTCAGTACGCGCTTCTCCCTGCGTCACATTCGCGAAGGCGAAGCCCACCTAAAGTCGGAGGTGGAAGATCTACTTGATGCTTGGGATAAGGTAGTCAAAGAGGACGACGAAGACAAGATGACGACGTTTATTGGCAGACGAATCATGCACGTGCGAAAAATTGCAAAGGTACTAGTAGATCAACCTGTGTCCATGCTTCTACGACAAAACTTACGCAAGGCTTTTGGGAACAAAGCACGTACCTCTCTGTGAGAAGTGGGCAGAAGCAGAGCGCATCGAGCTCCGGAAAGAGCGCCTCCAAGAGTAAGTGAACCCGCGGCCCATACTGGTTTTGAGCGGTCCAGTAATTTTGTATGGAAGTGTCGTCGCCAGGTTGCGACAACTCGGCTGGGGCTTCGAACTCGATATAATTCAAAAGGATAACTACGCGCCACTGTGCGACCTTAAGGAGGTCCGTGTGCCTGAGAAGCTCACAGATCGCGGTACGCACTCGCTCCGCCGCCCGACCTTGCCAGATCCTGATGTTATCCTATACTTTTCCAGCGTGGCGAACTTCGGAATGGAAAGTGGTCAGATGCATTCGAGACGTCATGGAACGACGTCTCGCACGCGAGTTGGAAGATAGACTCAACTCACGCTCGGATGTCATGAAGAGCGCTGTGAACACTCTCAAGCTGCGCCCGGAGGTACGGCCTTACCGCTTGGACTTCGGAGACATCGCGCGCATGCCGGAAGTCCGCGAGATCATGTGTGCGGTCGACTCAAAGGACATCACGGCTAGGTTCGCCGCGTTGCCAGCACAATTTGGGGATATGGTCGAACGATGGAAGGCTCGAGTGGACAAGAAACTTATCAGGCGGTTGTTTATGGTCAACAGATCACAGCCACAGGAATTGCGCATACTGGAGCTTGCGACAACGCGATTCCATTGTGCGAATGCGGCAATTCAAAGCTGTACTACCCTGGTGTCTTGTGGCACGAATGTCTGCATTGGGAGACGGACTGGCCAAATGACGAAAGAAATGTAGTGTACAGCAACTTCATCTGGCATATAGTGGGCCCGCATGGATTCCACATGGACCGTCTCTTCACAGAAGACACCTCAGCGCAGGCCCATGAGCTGATCAAGCTATTCGGCAAGGACCCGAAGATGGCAACGGCGAAGGAAATGGACGCGCTGGATCTAAGACTCGTGCGCGATAACGAAGCGGTCATGACATGGCGCGCCGCCGTGCGTTTGTTCAACGAATCTCCTGGAAATACTCAACCCTGACAATTATGGCCTACTACAGATGTACTATGTAGATGATCATGTAGGCACTTGCGACTGGCGAATAGCAACCTCCGACGAGGTTGACAAGGCCAAGAAGCACGAGCGACTGATACAATTGGATAAGTCCTGGTGGTTCTGCATAGCGTGCAACAAACCAAAAAATTACTGGGGATGGGATAAAGACGGTGCCTGGGACCATCTCCAAGGGACGTGAGTATTCTTCTCATGTGTCACGGTTTCAAAGAGGACTCAGTGGGATTCCAAATGGTTAGGCATGACATGGAGGTTGCCAGCCTATATGACGAGCGTCTGCAGGCTTTCCTACACCCCGATACTGCGGCCGCCAATGGATTTTTTGAGATCAAGATGAGCACTCTAGATGACCCCATTGACGAGGAAGAACGTTGATATTGCGAATGCCGGACGTTGAAGGGAGATGATGTGACAGTGACGGTAGACCATCGCGGACTCGGAGCTTAACTCAGTGACTCCCTCAATACTTATTCGTCAATACAACAATTTGTCGTATGCATGCCAACGGCTTTCGTGCTTTCAGATACGGCGTACCAAGGCCGGAAACAATATGTACCATTTACTACTGAGTTGCCTGCAACACCTTTTCAGCGGAATCAGCCACAGCCGTGTAGTATCATGTGCATTCGGCGTGACCGTGAACTCAAGTACTGGGGTGGCTGAACTGGTTCGGTTCTACGCGTACCTCTCGTCGTCCACCGTCACGCTTGTACTTGCATCGTATTTCTTGTCCTAAACCTGTCACAGCAGCTAGTTAGCATGCCACCGAAGAAAGTCAAACGATCGGTCAGTTCCTTAGACGCGCGTGAAGGACGGCTTAACTACGGGTGACACACTGGCAGATTCGGGGGCACTTGGTAATGTTGGCGGTAGAGCTACCCACGGACGCGGGCGGGGCGGCCTCAAAGATATGCTGAACATGCCCACTGACATCATTCATGAGGTGAGCAAATTTCCTGATGGATCGGTTGTTCAAGAAATCACTCGATATGTCAGATTGTGCGACATCTCCACCCGCGAGACTTGCTGGGTCTCTCGTGGTCCTCGAAAGCACTTCACGCCTTCCTGATGAGAAAGAGCTCCGTATGTATCTGGAAAGAGTCACTGAAGAATTCAGAAGACCTACCACCGTGCCCGGAACAGCTAATCGAGCCTGCTTGGTTCGCTTTGCTCTTCTCGACCTCTTGCACGGTATGTGGGCATTGGCATGCCATGGCAGTTTGCGTTCATCGAGATGGTCCCTATCCAGGCATGTGGAACAGGCAACTCAGCGGAACCCCTCTGGGAGTTCTACGCACGCTTCTGCGAATCTTGCCAAGACACGATGTCAGTGACGTCTGACGATACTGTATAATGTGTGCTCATCTACTCCCGTCATCATGCACACAGGACTTTAAAGGTCCCGTCAGGGCATACGTCAGTGTTTGGGGACAAATGGGTCATATACAAAGAAATTCCAACCAACATGTTCAACAAAGTGTGCTCAGAGTGTTTTCACCGTGCCTGATTAATGACCGTTATCCTCAGGTTTGCGTAGCCAAAGACGACGTCGCTGTATATCTGAAGTCTCAGCTGGACGAGCTCATTGAGACCTGGGAGAAGTTATCGAAATGTAATGACCACGAGAAGCTGGCCATGTTCATTGGTACGCAGATCTTGCAAGTGCGGGCGATAGCGAAGGTAAGCTACCGGGTTTGAAGACGTGTATTGGATCCCGTATAATGTGTCTGATCTGCGCACTATCTAGCATGCGTCTATCTGTGCTAATTGGGCCAAGAGAGAAGTTGAATCGCGCGACGATGCGCTTTCGAGGGAACGCTTTGCAGAGTAAGCGTGTTTTGATGTCGCACCATCGACGACCTAATCGCCTGTGCATCTCAGAATCGTCTCTCGGCTGCACGCACTTGGTTGGGGCCCCGAGCTTTCGTTTCTCGAACGCCATCATTACAGAGCATTAGTCGCACATGAGCAGGTCTGGGTGCCCAAAAAGCTCACCGATCGCGGTGGGTCATCCACACTTGTGTCATGCGTGCTCTATGAATGCTTATAGCGACGTGCCCATCCAGTCTGGAACAATATGCGTGGGGAGATGGTTCAGATAGTGCAGAACATCCGCGACGCGTTCCCTGAGCTCGATTTCACGGAAAGGCTGCATGGACGTTCCACTGCTCTGTATAGTGCGCTAGAAGAGCTCGTGGAGTGTCCCGAGGCACAGGCCGACGAGTTGAGCCACACAGACATCGCGCTCATGCCGGAGGTCCGTGAAATAATGTGCGCGCCTGAGGGTGTAGAGGTCAACCGAGACACCTTTATTGCTTTGCGGAAACACATGGGCGCGATGGTGGAAGGGCGGAGATCGCGTGTGCACGACGACCTTCGCGCGCTGCTCACGCGACAGAGAGGTGCGAGCGAGGCCTCGAGCGAATCAGGCTCAGGAACGGGCGTGGACCCGTTGGACCTCGCAACGACGATGTTCCGCTCCCCGTATTCAGACATAAAAGGGCAAAACTTCTCTTTTATCCAGAGATACTGCGATACCGCCAAAGATACAGGCCAGGGATTCAGAGACAGTCGGACGCATACTGTGCTTTTATTGCCCAGGCGGCGTGGTATTACTCCGACCAACTCTTCTTCCATGTTGATCTCTGCATCGTACACAAGCCGTCGGAAGAAGCCCTCAAACTCATACAGCTTTGTGGCAAGGACCCGAAGACAGTGACAGTGAAGGAAATGGACGCACTGGATGTCAGATTCGTGGTAGACGATAAGACCATCATGACCTGGCGTGCCGCTGTAAGTTCTGTGTCTTAGTACTTCGCAAATGACCGGTGCTCACCATAACCACCAGATGTCACATCAAGATGCCAGACGGTGGCGCGGTAAAAGTGGCAGTGGCGACTAGCAAGCCGGAAGAGGTTTCCCAAGCTAAAGAGTGCGAACGAGAAATCGCAAGGTAGCTTGTGGCAGTGTACAAGATGTCCTCCGGCACGTCTGACCCGACCTCATTCGACGCTGCACTGAGTCACCTGGACGCTGTGTGAGTTTTATCCTGTTGTCTGACTCATAGAGCCCTAATAAGTGAGCGGACGAACGACTAGCCATAGCGTCAAGGATCCTACCTCGCAATGCGAATATCTGACGCTCGCTCCTTACAGCCCTGCAGCGAATGGTATCTATGAGGTCGAGTTGCAGCTCAGGGAGAATGATCGTAGGTGTATCTTACCACTAGTGAATGGAATACACATCGTATGGGTATGGTGTACTCGACAGGCGTGTCCTCAAGATGCCTGCAGATCAGATAGCCATATCACGGCCTCAGTCATCTATCCATAAACACGATGTTGTAATGCTACAATAGCAGCGCAATGCGATTCATACTACCTTCGCCCTTGCCTTGTTAGGTTTCTCTTCGACAGCAGTTGTACGCAGGAGGTGGGCTTAAATATCGAATGCGACTTGAGTGTACATATATGCATGGTACCGGTCTTGGCGCCGGTCTGCGGTCAGTACGCGCCTCCCGAAATGGCAATCCGTTACGCGTCGTCCTCGTGCTTCTCGCGACGCGTCAGTCCGCCTGCCCGTCCACTCAGTCTCGCTAAGTTACTCTGCACTTGACCTCATACACGCGCCATGGTAAGCCTCTACACGTTCATTACTCGCATATCATTAGATTTACTGCTCTGCAGTTTCGTAACACATACGACTCCGACAACGTCGTCTTCTCCCCGCAAGGCCGCCTTCACCAGGTCGAATATGCGTCCGAAGCCGTGAAGCAGGGTTCTGCGGTGGTTGGGCTGCGATCGAAGACACATAGCATCTCTTGGCTCTGAAGGTATGATACTGTCTTTGAACTCTGGGGTGAACGTCCTGAAGTAAGGGACCTCGCAGCGATCGTTGGGCGAGCTCGCTTCGTACCAGCAGAAGATGTATCGAATAGATGATCATGTCGGCATTGCGATCGCAGGACTCACGTCGGATGCCCGTGTACTTAGGTATGTCTTGCTTGCCGCACGATCGCTGCGAGTATACTGAGGTCTTGGTGCAGTAACTTCATGCGCCAACAAGCAATGGGCTCACGCATGCAGTTCAACCGCCCAGTCCCCGTCAACCGTCTCGTATCTTCAATCGCCGACAGTGCGTATACCCCTCACACTCTGCCCTCCTATCGGCTGACTTCACAAATGTCGTGATCAGAGGCGCAAGTAAACACACAAGAGTACGGGCGCCGACCGTACGGAGTCGGCTTCCTCGTCATCGGCCAGGACAAAAACGGCCCGCACCTCTACGAATTCTCACCGTCCGGCAACTCGTATGAGTACTACGCCATGTCGATCGGCGCGCGCAGCCAGAGCGCGAAGACATACCTCGAGAAGCACTACGAGAGCTTCGTGGACTGTGCGCGCGCCCTCTACTCTAACGTTCAATCGCTCACGCTGCGCTGTCTATAGGCAACCTCGAAGAGCTCATCCGACACGGCCTGCACGCGCTCCGCGAGACGCTGCAACAAGACAAAGAGCTGACAATCAACAACACGACCATCGGCATCGTCGGGCATGCAGGCGCGCACGAGAAGGACGTGCCGCCGGAGGGCTCCTTCCGCATCCTCGAGGGCGAGCCCATCCAAGTCTACCTTAGCTCGATGCAGCCGAAGCGCGCGCCGGAGGAGCCTGCCGCTGCAGCACAGACGGGCGTAGAGGGTCAAGAGGAAGACCCGACACATGGGGCTGCGGTGGACGAGGATGTGCAGATGGGCGAATGAGCGTGAGTGCCGGTGGATGGTATGTAGCGGGATCGTGGCGCGATGTGTGCTTGTATCGTTTCCGGACTGAATGCAATGTTTTCGAATGTTTTGAGGGTGTGATGAGTACACTACGACGCGAGGTGCCGCTGACGAATAAATACGACGATCTACCCGGTAAACCTGTGAGTATGACCCTATGGCGCTTTCGCGCCTTTCGCGCCCTTCGCTGCGAACAATGCCTGCCTCCACGCACGCGCCGCTGCACCCGGTTTCCTCAACGACACCAGCAACTGGACCATCGTCGTTAGGAGCAGCACGCTCCCTGCTTGGTGCGCAGCAGCTAAGGGCACCGGAACGAGGTAGAGTAGAGTACTAATGCCGAGCAGGACCTGAACGTTCGCCATCGCGAAGGCCGACACCATCATGCGCTTGACGAGCGGCGGGAGGATAGCCTTGTACGCCGAGCTCCGGCTCAGGGCGTACAGGGCCGTGGTTGCAGTGTAGGTCGTGATCGCCTGGATGAATCGTGAACACTAAACAAGTGCGTTCAGTACGTCGTGCATGCTCACCAAGCATCTGTGGTTGAATTGCACGGTAGTGGGATTCTCGAAGATGTTACGCCACCATAAGTCTGAGCCGTCGGGGCTCTTGGCGTATGCCGTTGAGAACAGCTCGTCCGCCGGAGGCGCGATGCGTCCGCCCATGAGCGGGAACTCGTTGTAGAGAAGACCAGCGTCCAGCCCCGCACAAAAGCCCCTGTCATATTGATCAACCACCACTCCTACTACTCAATACACCGCTTACCTGAGAGCGCCGTGAGGAAGACCAACCCAGTGAGCAGCTTCGAACACCGGGCGAACCGCTTCACGTGCGAGTTCTGCAGGATATTGTCCAGTGCGCCGCCTCGCCCTTCAAACCCGCCCACACGCCGCGCGTCGCATACCGCCAATCATACAGCGCCGCCATGCCCGTGCCTAACATCCCGCATACAGCACGAACGCCGTCCCGAGGTGCGCCGCGAGCCTGTACTGCGACACGCGCGGGACGGCACCGGGAGTGTCCATGAGCGAGTCCTCCAGCCCGGACTTGACCATGTACCACCCGAGCGCACCTTGCGCGCCGAGTAGTATCGCCATGCCGAAGAGCTGCTTCGGGAGCGTGGCAGTCAGGCGATTGCGGAGGGTGAAGTAGGTGAGGGGAACGACGAAGGCGATTCCGATGAACGGCCGAGGATGCGGTGTCCCCATTCCATGTAGAAGATGTTCTTAAACTCGTCAAGCGTGATCGAGTGGTTCAGCCTGCTTTCGTCAAACGAGCGCTGCAGCTGCAAAGTTACGGATCTACGTACAACTTGAACTCCGGAGTTGCCTTGTACTTGGTGAATTCGACTTCCCATTCTGCTTGTGAGAGAGGGGGTAGAACACCGGTGATGGGCCGCCATTCCGTGATGCTCAGACCGGACTCGGTGAGGCGGGTCACACCGCCCACGACGATGACAGCAAAGACGAGAACCGAGGAGAAGATGAGCCAGCCTGCGACCGGGGGAGGAGAGAGCACCGGAGCTTGGGCACAGAGGCAGCATTGCTGGAGAAGAACCGCGGGTCGAAGACGCGGGGACGACCGGTTCTCGCACCGAGCGTAATGTGCCTCCCTTGCGCCCATAGACTTGGCTGTCGCAGTAGACCACCCAATGGTCGACTGCCTGTTCCGAAGATGGATTTCGTGGGTAGTCTGGAGAGAACCTTCGACACACTCCGCTGGTGAAGTGCTCGTGTGCACGGTGGTCTTGAGATCGCTGCAGGTAGGGAACGCCCTCCAAGGCCCCTCCATAGCGAGGTGAACGACATCCTACGGCTGGAAGTCGAGTAGACACCAGAAAACCGGGCTACCTGAGGAAGTCTCAGAGGCTCATACTATGCAGGATGGGCGCAGGTTAGGAATGCGGAGGCCGGGAGTGGTCGAGCCGGATTTGAAGTCGAGCCCCCGTGGCTCGCGGTGGGCGGTCCCGACCAGCGTCTGCACCAACCCTCCGTCTCGCCTCCATGTTCGCGGTCGCTCTCGCTCGACGTTTAGGCGCAAGCCGCGCCCCTCGTCTACT